CTTGCCCTCAAAATCGGATTGACGTTCCGAGTCAATCTTATAAAGAGAATATTCCTGACCACTACCTTTGTCAGAGAAGTCCCTGGTGAGGATGAGCTTGCCCACCTTGCTGCCGGACCGCCACTTCGCGGACTTCGAATCCCTTGGGTCAAGAAGGTCCGATTCAATGTACATCCAGTCTTCGGCGTTCGCCGCTATGGCTGCAGGATGGACGCGCTCCCAGAACGCAACGCCACGGGCCCCCCAAAGGGGGCCCTACACCCGTAGAGTAAACGGCGGGGGCGAAAGCAAACAGAGGACTGAGTCAGGCAGGACACAATACTTGCAGTAAAGCTTCCGGCTGAAATGTCCAGCCCTGAGCCCTCGAAGCTATGGCGTGCACGTGCCACTCGACAGAACACTGGGGACCACGATCATGTATTGTCCTACGGTTGTTCTGTGTGTGCTCGGTGACTCGCCTTTCGAGCATCCGACGTCCCCAGACGACCCAAGAGGCCACCAGGACTGGCCCCAGACGGCCCAAGAGCCCCACCCCCACCAAGAGTGCCCCACGACGGCAAGAGGTCTCGAAGACGGCCTGAGAGGCGCCCAAGAATACCCAAGAGAGCCCCACCCCAATACGGCCCCAAGAAGGGCCCTAGAGGGTGGACACGAACCGACAATTCGAGCCTTGCGCCCCACGAGGGCTCAGGGAGCCTAAAGGGGGCCAGATAAGGCATCCAAGAGGCGCCCTAGAGGGCCCCTAAGAGGCAATTGCCCTTGCGAAGGGCCCAACCATATGCAAAGGTGAATATCGCCGTTGTGGGTATCGCCTTCGGTGGATCTCCTTATGGGGCCACGAAGCGTGTAAAGGGTGTGCCGAAATGGGGCGGGGACGCATGCGGGCGCAGCCATTGGGGCCTTCGGTGGCGCTCCATATGGGGCCACGAGACGTGTGAGGGGCGTGCCGAAATGGTGCGGGGCCGCCTTGCGAACGTCGACATTGGGGCCTTCGGTGGAGCTCCTTATGGGGCCTAGAAGCGCTGTACTGAGTGGGGGACACGCATGCGAACACCGCCACTGGGGCCTCCGGTGAGCTCCCTATGGGGCCACAAAGGGTTGTACTGGGTGGCGGAGGTGCATGCGAACACCGCTGCTGAGGCCTTCGGTGAAGCTCCTTATGAGGCCACGAAACGTTATACTGGGTGGAGGAGACCACTGAAGCCTTCGGTGGAGCTAATGGGGCCACATATGGAATGGAGGTATTTGAATATTGGGTGTTGTTGGAGGTGGGGGTGAATGAGCGTTGGGTATTTATTGTGTTGGTGACCGAGGCTATTGGGTACGATTATGCCGTGAAATTCCAATGAAGGTGGAGGCTGATGGGTGTTTGGTTTTGTGTGGAGATGGAGGACGTTGAATGTTGGGCGTTGCGTTGGAGACGAAGACAGTTGAGTAAAATTGAATTTTCGAATTACATCCGAAATGGAGCCTGTTGAGCTTGAGACGGAAGCCGTTACGCATTACGCATTGGCCCGAGTGGAGTGGCCCAAGGTCCCTTCGAGTTCTGCTTGCGTCGCATGTCAGTAATCAGAGTGAGGGGGCCGAACGATCATTCATTGTCCCTGGGCGTGTGGCTGAAGTGAGGTTCCGAGCGGCGGACTGCTGTTGTTACTATTGCTGATGCTGCTGTGGTTGTTGTTGTGGCGTTGCTGCTCTTGCGCTGTTGTCGTCATCATCGCCCGCGACCCCCCCCCGCGACCCATCCCGCGACCCACCCGGCAACACTTCCGCGACCCACCCGCGATCCACCCGCGACCCACCCACAATGCTAAACGAGAAAATCAGCGCCTGCGGCGAGCTTCTTCAGAGCCTCGCGGACTGCCGACGACCCACCGCCCCGTCACTGTTGTCCGCAACTGCGGGATGCTATTTGATGCAAGGCCCCTTCCTGAACCTCTGGAATTCTTGGGCGCTTGTTGGCGTTGACAGGGCTCCCCGCATGACTTCTCCAGGGCGCGTGATCAGGGAGTCCACACTGCTCGCGTGTCCAAGGAACACTACTGGGCGTCTATTGGCGGCCGCTTGCATCGTCGTGGGGCCCTGGGGATCAGCCCATGAGGCCCAAATCTGAAGAGAGCTCAAGACGACCCAAGAGGTGCCCACAAATATATCGCAGACGGCTCCTGAATCCTCAAAGAGGTGTCCAAGAGCCCTCAAAAAGGGCCCCAGGAGATCCCAGGCGGGGGAGCTCGAACTGCCATGTAGACCCTCCAGCTCAAGATGTCCGCTGAGACCGCCAGCAGGCTCCCAAGAAGCCCCCAGGATGTCCCCGAGAGGCCCTCAGGAGGACCCCAAAAGGCTTCCAAGAGGGCCCCCAAGAAGTCCCCGAGGAGCCCCCCGAAAGGCACATCAAGAGACCTCTTGTTCACGACACAGGCACGGTGGCGGCATGGGCAGAATGCCACTGGATCCGCCGCCCCCTGTTGGCTGCAAGAGAGGCTGTTGGCCCAACAGGCCTCCGAGAGGGCCTCCAAGAAAGCTCAAACATGCATCCGAGACGGCCAAAGAAACCCTCAAACACGACCCTGAAACGCCCCAGCAAGCCAGCAGAACAGCCCAGAGAGGCCCCAAAACGGCGCCTGTTGGCAAAGCGTTGGCCGAGCGCCCAGGGGGCGACGGTGGCTCGCCGTAGGCTTCTACGATACCCAGACGCACACTCATACTCAGACTCACTCAAACTTGATCCGCTCACACGCATTGCCACCCATACCCAAGGTAGCTTCTTTTTTCTCTGAACGAATGCACGCGGTAGCGCGAGATGGGTTCCACAGGCAGGCATTCCATCATCCAATATGGCTGAAACTCGGTCTCGGACAGCGTGCCAAGCTCCGTCGGCACAGCCATCGGCGCCGCGGAGCGCCCATACCCAAAGTATGAGGGTGTTCTTGTTAGTCCCAAAATTGCAAGACCGACATAAGCGTTAGTAGTTAGATACCGCCTGCTCCCTCGTTCACTCGTGCTCCGACTCGTTCACACTCAGAGTCACTCATACTCATTCTCAGACTCACTCACACTCAGACGCACTCACACTGAGGCTCACTCATAATCTAAACGAGATAACGTCAGAGGTTAGAGATAACTGCCCAGCCCCGCGTCGTTGAGTCAGGTCGCAAATGACGCAAATCTCAAAATACCGCCCCATCCAGAATTGACAAACGCTGGTCAGCCTGGCATTCAGTCAGCTGAGCAGGGGGTCTCCCTTGCGCACATCGGATACGCGAGGCTCAAGGTGTGAAACAAAGAACAAAAGCCTTGACCAATGGACCAACGGATGGCGTCTCAGAGAGCCGCGCATCCGCAACCGCTGGGGCAGACTTCCCAGCTTCCCAGCTGCATCCAGCTGCTGGGAAGGGGGCTCCACAGCTACGCCTCGGCCTCCCTGCCTTCGTTGGGGAGGCGCGGACAGGACGGAGCAGTGCCAGAAGAGGCGCTGCAGGACGAGGGGGTAAGAGCATCCACAGCCACCCGCAGAGACACTGCTCGGCACCACGGCCCCCTCACTCATAGTTACGCATGCTCAGACTCGCCCTCGCACTCTCTCCTCAATGGGCTCGCCTGCCGCGTGGGCGAATTCAGCTGTGAGCATCAGGCCTCGTGGGCACTGACCTCGCTTGGAATGCAATTGGCGCAGAAACTTGACGCAGGAAGCCTGCGAATAAAATGTGAGCTGCATGCACTCCTGCACGCGCGTATGCGAGGGACTCGCCACGGCACCACTGAACCGACAACTTGAGCGAACCCTACCCGCAAGCGGTCTCCAGGAGCAGCATCCCAAGACTCCAACAATCAGCTGGCTCAGGGAAGTACGGATCGTTCAGCGCCGCCTCTGGAGCCACGCACGGCAGAGATCCGCACAGGGTCTCCCTTGCGCTGGAGTTTCGAACGTGGGACGAACATGGCGAAACGCGTGGTGCCGAGAACGTGGGCGATGGTCTCGAGAACGTGGACCAAGGGTTTCCAGTTAAGAGCGTGGAACGAGAACGTGGGCGATGACGCGTGGTGACGGTTTTGTACCGCGACGTGATCCCTTTATCGATCTCATTCGATCGATCTCACCACGATTCACCAACAGGACATCGACGAGACACCGACGGGACACCACGGGGACATCGACGTGACACCGACGTGACACCGACGGGACACCGATGGGACACCAACGGGACACCGACGGGACGCGGACGGGGTAGCGATGGGACACCGGCAGTTCGCAGCCCCCCAGGGATGGTGAGGTATAATATGAATATGCGAAGGACGTCACTTCGCTGGACCTCCCAGCAGTCAACGAACGTGGCGACAGTTGTGCAGTTTGTAGCTCCCAGGGATGGCGTGGTCTAATCTGAATGACGTCACTATGCTGGACCCCCCAGCATAGCTCAAAAGTGGCGACAGTTTCACAGATCGCAGCACCCCCAGGGATGGTGAGGTATAACCTGAATCTGCGTAGGATTTCAGTATGCTGGAACCCCCAGCAGCCCTCGAAAGTGGCGACACTTTCGCAGTTCGCAGCCCCCCATGGAAGGTGAGGTCTTATCTGAATCTGCGCAGGACGTCACGATGCGAGACCCCCCAGGAGCTTACGAATGTGGCGACATGTTCGCAGTTCACAGCCCCCAGGGACGGTGAGGTCTAATATGAATCTGCGCAGGACGTCACTATGCTGGACCCCCCAGCAGCCTTCAAAAGTGGCGACCGTTTCGCAGTTCGCAGCCACCCCCCAGGAATGGTGAGGTCTAACCTGAATATGCGCAGGACGAAACTATGCTGAACCCCCCAGCAGCCCTCGAAGGTGGTGTCAGGCTCGCAGATCGCAGCCCCCACAGGGATGGTGAGGTCTACTCTGAATCTGCGTGGTCGTCGTCTTGCTGGATCCCCCAGCAGCCCTCGAACATGGCGACTGTTTGGCAGTTCGCAGCCCCCCAGGCATGGCGGCAGACAAGGCTGGGGGGGCTGCGACGAATTCAGATGTAAGCATCAGGCCTCGTGGGCACTGACCTCGCTTGGAATGCAATTGGCGCAGAAACTTGACGCAGGAAGCCTGCGCATAAAATGTGAGCTGCATGCACTCCTGCACGCGCGTATGCGAGGGACTTGCCACGGCACCACTGAACCGACAACTTGAGCGAACACTGCCCGCAAGCGGTCTCCAGGAGCAGCATCCCAAGACTCCAACAATCAGCTGGTTCAGGGAAATACGTATCGTTCAGCGCCGCCTCTGGAGCCACGCACGGCAGAGATCCGCACAGGGTCTCCCTTGCGCTGGAAAATGGAACATGGGCTGCCATGCTGAAATCCACTTGGCGGCAGATGTGCCGATTCCGCACTGTCTCTACAGCCACACGTCGCAAAGGCACGTGCCCATGGACGACGCCCTGGGCGTGGCAGTAGGAACAGAGCACTGGCGAACTGGGCACTGCAATCCAAAGCATCGTCCCTGGACAAGCGGTACCTAGGTTGAGTCGACAACCCCTGCTCAATGCACACGTTTCCTCCGTACTGGAGAACCAAATGCACACTACACTGAGTGTGCAACATGCCTACGCAACGGATGATGTGTGGGTGGTCGAGGGCGTGCGTCAAGAAACGTAATTCCACCAGCCCGCTGGGCGTACCTGGTCCAGGGCGGTTCCTCTTCCAAATCCCCTCCTTCCCCTTCGGGGAAGGGTTTACCCCTCCCCCTACCCACGGCGGGGTGCCAGCATATTCCCTGCCGTGCACAGGGCTACCATCCATGACATAAAAAAACGATACAACATGCACCTCGCGGCAAAATCTGGATCATGCGCGGCCATCCCGCGATCACTGCCACATGGTTTTTGACAGGGACCGCGGGGGTGGTGGCGCGCGGCCTGCTGTGCGCAGACCCACCAGACACAATGATGGGCATTGGTTTTCGACAAGGATGGCGGGGGCTGGCATGTTCCCGATGTGTGCTGTCACGTGCGCAGGCGCACCTGACGCACTCTGCACGTGCCCCGAACATGGCGCACCTGGCGCGGCTGGACTGTGCGGCACACCTGGCGCACTCGGACCACGTAGCGCATCTGGCGCACCAGGCGTGCCTGGCACGCTCGGGCCCAAGGGGTGCCTGGCGCGCGTGGCGCCCCTGGCACGCGTGGCGCACCTCGCCCAAGCGTCGCGCACCTGGAGTCGGCGTTGGTTCCCAGTAGCTGTCCGTCCAAAGACGGCCGCTGAACATGCTCAGGCTCGGGTGTTACTTATGTGGTGGGAGAGCGGGTGGGAGTGAGCTAGACGGCTTGCGGGTGGGTGGGTATCTTGACCCCTCCCCCTACCCCCTCCCCTGGACCCGGACGGGGGGCGGCGAGGCGTTGGAGCGTCTAAGATGGCCCAAGACGACTCCAAGAGGGCCCCTGGGAGTCCCAGGTGAGCTCGAAGGGGGCTCGAGATAGCGCACGATGCCTCAGGATGGCTCCCAAGATGTTCCAGAAGGCCCCAAGAACGTTCCAAGACGGCTCCAAGAGGCCTCCGAACCTCCAAGGAGGCCCCCAAGAAGCCAAGATTCGTCAAACACCTACGAAAAATATATGAAGTGTGTTTTCTCGCATGTTCGTTTCCGACGGCCGTCGGAGGCCTCAAGATGACCCCAAGATGGCCCAAGAGAGCCCCAAGACGGCCCCAAGAGCGCCCAAGAGCGCCCCGAGAGCGCTCCAAGAGGGGTCCAGGGGGCAATGTTCGGTGCTCCCGAGGGGGGGGGCTAAGTGAAGCGCCCCTCTTGTTTGATCGATATCCTCCAAGATGGCCCCAAGAGCGCCCCTGAAGCTCCCAAGAGCGCCCCAAGAGGGCCCTAAGAGGCGCCCAGACGGCCCCAAGAGGCCTCCAAGAGGCTCCCCAGAGACCCCATACGAGGCCTCAAGACGATCCCCGAGGTACCCAACACTCCCCTTCTCATCGTTCTCCTCCTTCTCGTCCTCCTCGTCCTCGCCCTACTCCTCCTCCTCCGCCTCCTCCTCCTCCTCCTCCGCCTCCTCTTCCTCCTCCTCCTCCTCCGACGACGACGACGACGACGACGACGATTCCTCCTCCATCCTCCCCCTCTTGGGGTATATGACGGCTTCCTCCGCCCTTTGTACTACTGCATGCTCCCCCATCTCCCTGATCACCTCAACTCCCCTGGGCATCGTTTCTGGATGGGCTGGTGGGGATATGCGAAGCGTCAACCATTCCTGGTATGTTCTCTCCACTTCCTTGGCATCGGCTTGGCATCGGTGACGCTGCGCTTGTCGTACACTTTGATCACTACGCTTCAAAGCTGTCTGTTCACCGCCAACGACACTTGCTGGTGATCCGAATACGGGCGCACGAGCTAGAAATCCCCAACCCGATTCCCACATTCCAGGAGACGCTCGTCCAGAGGCGCGAAATCGGGCATCAGCAGATCCGGGATGGCACTCCAGAGCAAACTGCGGAACTCGTCCTCAATGTCTTTGAGCTGCATGGCAGGGGGCACTCCCTGGTCCAAAGTGCTGATACGTGCCCGCACGCGCAGCTGGATGGCGGCGTTCTCTTGGAGCTCCAAACTTAACCTGTGTTGCAGCCCCCCAGGGTCACCTGCCAGCTCCATCAGCACGGCATCCGCCCCAAAGCTGTAGAGCCCGTCATGCCGCGCCATCAATTTACCAAGGTGGGCCTTGGTCAGCTCGGGATCCAACCGATCTGGAAGCTGCACCAGGAAAACGACCGCGTCGGGATGCGTCGCCCAAAAATATTCCAGGAGGCATGCCACGCTGCTTGTTCTCCTTTTTCGTCCTATATACGGATATGATCAGACAACGTGCAGCTCCACTATCTGGGCGATGCCTTCCAAACTCGGCACTCCAAAACCTGCCACTGATGCCAACACGTTGGCTGGCTTCACCTGCGAGCTCCACGGCAGCAGGGTCAAGAAGCCAAATGCCGGCGTGCTTGGTGCGACGCTGATGAGATATGTCTCCACGACCCTCCGGATCGAACCGAGCGTTGCAATGATGTAAAGGCAATGCGCCTAGCAATCAAGACACTTGTTGAAGCGGCACCTCCAGCCAAACTGCTTCTGCCAGCAAGGTTGCGGAGGGGGAAGGGAGGGAGGGGGGATCAGGGATGAGGGAAGAGTCGAAGGTGCGGGCTCATGGTGTAAAAATCTCAAAAACGTGCAAATGACCACAACTTCGCGATAATAAGCTCTGTCATATAGATAGGAAGCGGAAACATAGGATCAACATCATGAACTGATAATAACCTCGGGGGCGTGGAGGGGGAGAAGTCCCTGACAGGACATGCAAGTACAGCATCGCATGGACGTTCAGGGACCACATGATGCAATGGATGGAACCTGCAATTCGGCATCATGCGAATCACAATACACGGTTAAACAAAACAACTAAGACCGAGCTCGCGACGGACACGAAGACACCTACAGCTGAAACGGAGATTTGATCCGAACGGTGAACTGGACACTACCAAAAAACACACGAGGCACTAAACGCTACGTAGATAGTCCATGTACCTCCTTTGCGAAGTGTGTTAAACATTGCGTAGACAGTATACGTAGTGGTGGTGCACATCGTGTTGTCTGTACGTAGTCTTGTATTACGTAGGTGTGGCTTCTTCTACGTTGTGAATTCGCACATGGTTTCACGTAGTGCTCGCTCGTGGTGGCTTCAACGTCGTGTTCTCACGTAACGTATTCACCTAGTGTGATTGCGTAGCGTACTCGCTCGAACGACTTAAGCCATGCACCCACGTATTACAATTACATAACGTATCCGCGTAGTCTACGTAAACAATGCATGTGCGTAGAACTGTGCGTGGCGCGTGTACGTAAGGTTGGTTCACCGTGCACGTAAAATACGTACGCAATGCTTCCCCGCCGTGTTGGTTACGCAATGTCTTTCGTAATACATGGACGTAGAAAGCTGACAGAATGAGTGGTCCAACCCCATGCAACTCACGTGTTGTCATGCCGTGTATTTGCGCAGTCCCCTCACTTAGCGCGTTCGCAGCAGAACCCCAGGAGCAGCCCATGCGGATCCTATAAGCATCCCAGACGCGTAGTGTACGCACGCAGTGTTTTGACATAGTGTTTTTGTACGTTTGTGTTCCGTAGTGCATTGAGGTAGTGAACTCACGTGGTGTCTATCCTCCCCTGGCCCCTTACATAGTCTATTCACGTAAGAGTATTGGCGCAGCGTCCTCGCGTAGCGCGTTCGCAGTAGCGCCCCAGAAGCATCCCAGGCGCATCCCACGAGCGCAGTGAATGTACGTAGAGGTTGCACGTACTGTGTCCACGTAATGCTTAAGGCATTGACGTAGTGAACTGTGTAGTGACTATTCCACTTCCTATTCGATGTGAGCAGTGGCTGTATGTAGTGTATTGGCGCAGCGCCATCAAGTAGCGCGTAGCGCCCCAGGCGCATCCCAGGAGCATCCTAGGAACATCCCAGAAGAATAATGTATGCACGTAGTGGTTTTACGTAGTGTTGTTACGTCGTGTTTTGCGTAGTGTTCTACCCTGTGCATCGACGTCGTGAACTTCACACAGGTTCGTTTCACACCCCCTAGCGAATTACCGAGTGATTTCGCGTTGCGGTTCTTGCGCAAGGTCCTCACATCGCCCACTTGCAGGAGCGCACCCGAAACATCCCAGGAGCCTCCGATGAGCACCCAGCGAAGCGTATGCACGCAGCGCTGGCACTTCTCGTGTGCTGTGTTGTACTCAGTGTTATACGTACGGCAGGTCCGTGCCATGTCGACCCTGGCGTTGGTTCCTGACACCGCGGGGATCGTTCAACCTTGAACGATCGGCCGTTCCCGCAACGTCCAATCGTTCAACATCGACCGATTCTGGGTCGCCGCCGGCGTTCAACCTTGAACGCCCGCGCTGGGGTCGCCGCTGGTCGACACGACGCAAACCTACCGTACGGCATTGACGTACTGAACTCACGTAGTGTGTATCCCCCCCTGCGATTTACGTTGTCTTTTCACGCACATAAAACGTAAGTGTCTTAGCGCAGCGTCCTCACGTGGCGCCTTCGCGGGAGCATCCCGAGCGCATCCTGCACGAACGGAACCCATGTAAAAAGACGTGCTGGTAGCTCACAGGCGAAAAGAACCCAATCAAAAGAAACGAGTGATTTCAGCTCACGGGCAACAAGAACCCATGCAAGTAGAATCCTGAAGTTTCAGCTCCTCCTCCTCCTCCTCAGACTTGCAGACGAAGCCCCTCGCTCAAAACGTCCTCGCAATTCACTCTCAGACGATGCACTCGCTCGAGACATCCTCGCAACCTGCTCAGGCATAAATCCTGACGACAACACGTTAGACATCCCCTCTGGGTGGCCTAAACACGTGAAAACAAGCGACAAGTGCACGGGCGCAAGACGCATGCTAGACAACCCATACGCACACGTACTTCTACGTGCGAAGAGACCTACGACCTCATGTTAGGTATCCGCCTGGGCGATACGGACACGCGAGAAAAAAAAGTGTCGCTCGAGACATCCTCAATGGATTCTGAAGAACAAGCGGCTCGCTCGAGACGTCCTGAAAGTCTGCGAAACAAGCATTTCGCCTGAAACATCCTCAACAAGTCATGCAAAACGAGCAGTGCGCCTGAGACGTCCTCAACTTCTCATCTCGCTGGCCTGCGCGACCTCGTTGCTCTTCCTACACAGGGTGAGGGCCTGGGACTGTGGACCACTGCCGACAAGAGAACCCCTGGGCGGGAGCCCTCTCTGGGAAAAGTGAGCAGACACTCGCTCTAACAGGGGATATGTCGACCCCTATCCCAGGCTTCGTGGGGTTTCCGAATGGACCAGAAATTTGGGGCCTGACCCTGGGATATACGATGGGGGGGTGTCCATTTTCGATAGGGGTGCGTCCGAATAGCCCCCTTGGGGTGTACCCCAGGGTTTTCCCATTCTTCTGAGCGGCCAGACTTTTCGGGCGAAACTCGGGGATTGGGGGAGAAACATCGCCCGCGACGCTCCTCCTTCCTCTCCGTGGCGACCACCGCGCTGCGAGGGCCGCGCCCGCGCTTCATAGCCACCGCCGGGCCCGCGCTCCCCCGCCGCGCGGCGCGCGAGGGAGAGCGCCTGTAAGCCAGGCCCGCTCGGCGACGCGCGCGCCCGCGCGCGGCTGTGCGATTCCCGCGAGCGCTGGGCTGCAAGCGCAGGGCGACCGCTCGTCGGGAGCGGCCAAGAGGGGGCTGCTCAAGCGGGGGGGTGCAAAATCATGACCGGCGGCACGTGCGCGGCCCAGCGGGGGGGGGGGCCAGGAACGTAACGAAATAAGAAGAGGCGCCATGAAATCTGGGGAAATATCATGGCCCCCCGCCATGATATCCACCCCCCCTAGGGCCCCTAGTCCTCACCCCCCTCTTTGCCGCTCCCGAGCTAGGCAAGAGCGCTCGGCCAGGCAGGAGCTCCCCTGCCGCGCGGCGCGCGCGAGGGCGAGCGCCTCTGTAAGCCGGGCCTGCGCGGCAGCGGGCGGGGCGGCCCTTCTGCCACCGCGAGCGACGAAGCAAGACGGGCAGCCCCGCGCACGAGGGCACGCCGCGGCCCCGCGCGGTGGCTTGCGCAGGCCGCCAGGCACGCCGCGGGCTCCAAGCGGGAGCGCTCGCGCGCGGCCCCGTGAGGGCAGCCTGCGCCCGACGGCCCGCCGCGGCCGGCCCCTGCCTTTTTCCCGTCGCCCGAGGGAGCTCCGGAAGGACGCCGCCTCGTGTCCTCCTCCTCCTCCTCCTCCTCCTCCTCCTCCTCCTCCTCCTCCTCCTCCTCCTCCTCCTCCTCCTCCTCCTCCTCCTCCTAGGGCGGCAGCGGCGCCGAGGCACGCGAGGCCTCGGGGGGCGTCGGCGGCACCCCCTGGCGCCGGCCCTGGTCGGGCCCAGCCTGGGCCCGGGATCGGTGCGCACGCCCTCCTGGCTCGAAAAAACCAGGGGACAAAAAAAAAAAACAAGGGGAAAAAGCCAAGGGACAAAAAAACAAAGGGGACAAAAAAAACAAAGCGAAAAAACCAGGGGACAAAAAAAAACAAAGCGAAAGGGGAAAAAAACAAAGCGAAAAAACAAAGGGGACAAAAGTCAATGGGAAAAACAAAGCGAAAAAACCAGGGGACAAAAAAAAAACAGGGGAAAAAGCCAAGGGGAAAAACCGTCGACCAAGAGGCCAGGGGGAAGACCGATGGGGGTGCACCAGGTTCCCTGCAAAACCAGGGGAAGGGGAACACACACATGCCCCTCTCCTTGACCCAGGATCCACCTGGCCGGGATCGGTGCAGGCGTGCAGCTAGCGCCCCCCGAGGACCAGAGCTCGGAGCGAGGCACGAATCAAGCCTGGGGGGAAATCTGGGGCCTCCTGGCGTGTTCTGCATCCTGGGTCGCTCTCTGAAGCACCTGGGGCCCGTGGAGGGCCCTGGGAGCCCGAAAACGGCGGCAGGTCTCGGGACCCGTTTGTGACCGTTTTCTTCTTCGGCGCTTCGACATTGGGCGGAAGGTGGGTGGGGGAGGGGGGGGGTCTGGCTTAGGACCTCTGCTTAACGCGACTGTTTGCAACGGTGCGTGCTGTGGGGCAGACTCCACCTGCTTGAAACAGGCGCCCAGAACAGCCAGGATCTACTCCACAGGGGGGAGAGGATCGG